TTTTTTAACTATGAAAACAACTCCATTTTTCCTCACTTTTTCATCTCCAGAGTAATATATCATATGGTCATCCGACTCAAAGTGCCCCATGCCAGTCCATCTCATCTCACCAATGCCTAGTATGTCAATATTTATGTGTTCCAAAACAACTATATGATAGAAAAAAGGCAGCATATGCCCAGGGAAAAATGCTCAGAAGGCAGAAAGAGATAGGAAAGAAGGATGAATGGAAATGGGAAGACAGTGAGGAAGTAGGAAGAATGTTGTTACATTGTGAGAATTACAATTTATTAATTTTTTAAAAATGTGTATGATTTGTAGAATGGAAGAGCCATTTGTTCTGACAACTCCAACCAAAATAAAAAGGGTTTTGGAGGGTGTTTTTAAAGTGTAATTCAGAAATACTTTTGAGTTTCAGAATGCAGAAATCAGAGTGTCTTTAACTAGCAGAATTAGGGAGAGGATGTCCTCACAGAGAGATGAGCAATCTGGGATTTCAAAGAAGGCTCTTTGGATGTTTGTCATCATTAGTTCCTACATTCTACCTTGTTCTTTTGAGTTTTGTTTCATTTGTATAAACTTGCTGATTGTTAAAATTTTATGGACAGTAACAGAGCCCCAGAGAGGTAAATACTGTCTTGGCAAACCACTGAGCAGCAGATGCTGATGTGACTTTAGGTCAAATCAGTGCTTGGTCAACATTACAGGTCCCAGGATTTTGTTGAAAGGCCTGTATCACTGATATCAACTTCTATAATCTGAGATTGGAATTATGCAAGTTGTTTTTGTTTTTGTTTTTGTTTTCAGGGTTTTTTGCAAGTTTTATTTTGATTTCTCAGCATTTCGTGGTTTTATCTGAACTGAAGGTGGTGGTGCCTTAGTTAGCTTTTCATCCACATAACTGAGCCTGGATTTCAAAACTATCTTTGGAGACAGAATAAATGTTTGATGACTTTGAAATTTTGACGTAGGTTCAAATTTGTTTTAGATTTTACTTTATCCTCAAATAACCCCATGCCTAACCCTGCCACACCTACCCTTCCAGAGAGTAATGGAGTGCATAGTTAATTCACAGATATTTCTGGTGAAGTGAATGAAGAGACACGTCCTACTCCAGTTCACTTCCCATGTGCCCCTAAAATCCCCCCGGCTTTACTTTATTGATCTATATTGATTCACGTACCATCATGAGAGAAGATGTACTGCTGATTTAGAACTTAAAAAAATAATAATGGAATCAAAATACCTATTTATAGAATCTACTTTCTTATTAATATCTAAGAAAAACTCTTCAGTATATAAAACAATAAATAAAAAATTTACCTGTTCAAATGAGGAGAAGAAAGAGGGAAAGGAGAAGGAAGAGAAATAAAATTTGACACTTTTCTTCTATTTGCAGAAGGGGGAAACTACTAAGGCAACAAAGATTAGCGGACAGATGGTAGAGTGAAGGAATGAATATGCCAGATACAGTGAGGCTTTGAGGAGATATCATGATAAAAGGCATTGATCAATTGTAATTGATGTGATAAGGCATAATGTATGTGAATTATTTAATGAAAATCCACAAAAAAATGAAAAGTTACAAATTTGTTTTTTCATCTTTGACTAACTCCAAATAAAAATGACTTGGGAGATAATGTGGGCCCAGTACATATTAGTGATGCACATCACTGTTAAGTGTGTATCAAGAGGAAAAATGTCTGTGGGTGCTCCTCACTTCGCCCTGATTAGAGCCCCACTAGCAGAGGCCATTGTCTGACAACACACGTGGATGCTAAAGTTCTCTTACGCATTAATCTCCAGAGTGTGCATTCCGTATCGACTTTCAATAATATACTTCCCAGGATTTGCGTGGACATTTATAGGAACCTGGTTTTTATACCTATAATAAAACAGAAATAAGTGAAGTGAGTTGAAGTGTAAATAACTTTATGATTACACACACAGAATTCTCTTTCTTGCAGGAAAACTTGTAAATATGGCACTGATTTCAGTAGCAGCATCTATACAATAAATCTAGAGTCAATTTTAAAATATTCACACGCAAATTTAAAAAAACACACCTTACTGAACATGTGTTACCCATCTCCCTAAGAACTGCATTTGAAACAGTTAAACATTCATAACAATGTGGATGAAACTCATGGACATAATGTTGAGTGAAAAGAGTATAGACACAAGAGTGTGTACTATGGTTACACTTACATAAAATTTAAAAAACCCAACAAACTGACAAAGACTAGTCAAGGCAGCTACAAGACGAAGTTCTGATTTCTCCTGGAGATGGAGGAATATACAAGAACTCTTCTTACGCATTGACATTTTGGCCCTTGATTTGAGTTCTAGTTATATGAATATGAGCATTCTATAAAAATTAATTAAAGCTATAAATTTATATACAAAGAGTACTTCTGGTGAGTATATTGTTGTTGAGTACACTGAGTCAGAACCAACCCATAGGTGACCCTCCAGCAGGTTTTCAGAGACAGTTAATCTCACAGGAGGATATTGCCCATCCTTCAACTGCAGGGCAGCTGGTGGATTTGAACTTTGAAACTGCAGTGCAGTTTCTTACTACTAGGCCATCAGAGCTCCTTGTATGTTGTCTTTGTTAAATGCCATTGAGTCCTAGACAACTTATAGGGCACCTATGAATGAAAGACCTGAACATTTGTATAACTTTCATCGTTTCTCTAAGTTTGTAAAGTTTCTGGAGGCAAGCTATTTCAAAAGTGGATGCCACTCCTGCTTCCAAGCTTGTTTGTTGAGATGGCAGAGAGAAGGCTTTGTGTTAGGGGTTCACTTGTTGAAGGCAGGTAGGGTAACAGAGCATTCTTCCTGCTAACATTCTCACATGTTATTAAAAGAATATTATATTGAGGTGTTGAATTTATAAGAAGTCTTTGTGGCACAGCAGTTAAGGGCTTATCTGTGAACTGAAGAGCTGGAGGTTGTAACCCACCAGCTGGAGTCTGGGAGAGACAAGGCAGTCTGCTTCTGTCACTACTACAGCCTTGGCAACCTCACACAGCAGCTCTACCTTGATGGTCAATCCAATGGCAGTGGAATTTATTTACAAGCAAGGGTGACTGTTGCCTTGGAAGAGCTTATAAATCACAAAGAATGGGGGAGAACACTTAAAGCAAATTAAAAACTCAAGTTCTTTTTCCTTATTGTTCTATTTTTTCTTTTTATTTCTTCTATAATTGTATTAATTATTCAACTTTTATATGCATATGAAGCCATTGAAAATTGGCCTATGGCCGGGAGGAGGGTGCACTCTAGTCTTTAAAGGCATACCTCTTCTTTAGCACTTTAAAGATGCTCTTGACAGGGCAGTCATGGGGCAATAGGAGAGGGAATGGAGAAGGGGTGGATAGATAGTGAACACCGAATTAGAACAGATGAGAGGAAGATCTGTTCGAAAGGGAAATGTGATTATACGTTATACATATGAGAACAGTTTGGAACAAGAAGGGCATTGGTGGGGAGAAGGGAAGAAAGGGGAAGAAAGTGTTCTATTGGTTTTGATTCTTTTATTCTTCTATTTTTCTTTAATTATTATTTTTAATTAATTTTAATGAAAGTTTACACAGACTTAGGATTTCCATTCATTCATTGTTGCACTTTTCTCCCTGCCAACCTTCTCTCCCCCTCCCCAATTTGCTCTTCTCTTTGAAATATAAAAGAAAAATTCTTTCATTGTTATACAATCCCTCCCCATAAGTCCACTCCACTGTGCAGCCTTCATTCTGGACTCCTGTCACAACAATAATACCTAATCATATGTCCCTTTTAAACAGTTCTCTCCCTTATCTGTTTCAATGCAGTATACATTATTTATTCCCTCTTTCTCAGTCTTCCCTCAGTCACTCAAAGCCTCGGGGGCAATCCTGAGAGACTCTCCCTGAGATGCTGTTTTCCTAAGAGGTGAGTGACCCCAAATGGAGTCACTACTTCAGTAGTCAATATTGCCAATAGCCTGTAGCTAATATTCCAAACCAGGCTTTACATCTTGACAGCATCAGATTGCTTTTATTATGGAAAGAGCAGTGCTTTGTTTTTATTGAGATAGTTGGGTTATAGATTTGTCTCCTTTGCATGCAATACTTCTGAGACCAAAATAACTATCCATCAAAACATCACACAGCATTGCCTCAGTTCAAAGGAACTCTCTTTGTAGCAAATGAAGTACAACATGGAACCCATGTCCAGATATTTACTTATCATACCACACTGGGTGGTAAGAAGCTGCACTGCAATCCTGAAGGTTCATAATTTGAATCCACCAGATGCTCCACCAGAGAAGGATGGGCAATTTCTTCCCGTGTGATTCACTGCTTCCGAGAACCTGCTGGAGGGTCAGCTATGGGTTGGTTCTGACTCTACAGTACACAACAACAATAACAACTTCTCCATCATCCTGAAGCAGCTGCTTGATAAAAGGATGGAACGGCCTCTCTGTAAAAGAAACTCAGTTACAGCCTCAGCAAGGTGGAAGTACCTTGCAGGAGTCATCAATGTTCTCTAGGAAGCTGTATGTGCTTTAAATCTTTGTCCTACATGATGCCGTTTCCCCATAGCCAGGATCCACAAATCCAAAGATCAGGAGGTGGAAATGGGGATAACATTGTTCATTATTACCCCTAGTGACTCTCTCACAAAATTTGTGTCTATTATCCCTGCAACCTTACACTTTCTGGATCTAAAAGTCTTACCTGCAATGGGAGAAATGTTCCCACTAGGAGATACAATGTTTATTCCATTGATCTGGAAGAGAAGAATACCACCTTGCCACTTTGAATTCCTCATACTTTGGAATCAACAGGCAAAGAATAAGTTCCCAAAACAACTATGAGATATCATCTCACCCCAGTAACAATAGCAAAATCCAACAGAGCAGCAAAAGACAAATGCTGTCAAATTTGTGGAGAAACTGGAACCCTTATTCACGTTTTGTGGGGGTGTAAAATGGTGCAGCCACAATAGAAGGCTGTATGGCGCATTCTCAAAAATTTGGAAATAAAAATACTATTTGACCCAGCAATTCCAATACCGGGAATACACTCCAAAGAAACCAGAACTGCCACCCAAACAGATATATGAACACACATGTTTATTGTGGCTTTGTTCACAATAGTAAAGAGTTGGAAACAACCCAAGTGCCCATCAACAAATGAATGCAATACTCTGCAGCACTGAAAAATAAGGAACTCATGAAATATTATACAAAATACTATCAAAATGGGTGACCCTAGAGGACATTATGCTGAGTGAAATAGCTCAGTCACAAAAGGACAAATACTGTATAACACCACTGTTGTAAAACAGGACTGACATTAGGGTTGGGGGAAGCTAAAAATACCCAACAACAAATAAATAATATACGCTGCATGGAAACAGATGAGGGAAAGAACTGCTTAAAAGGAATATAGGATTTGGTATTATTTGGGCTTTTTAAAACTTTTTTTGTGTGTGTACCATCAAATCAGATCTGACTGGTTCAGGAGGAATTTGTCCCTCCTTCTCCAGCAGAGTATCTGGTGGATTCAAACCTCACACCTCTGGGATTGCAGTGAATTAGGTATTATTTGTATGATAACAGTCCAGAATAAGAGCTGCATAGTAAAGTGGACTTGGGTGGGGAATGGTACAACAATGAAATAATTTTTTTTTCCCAAAGAGAAAATCAAATGGGGGCGGGGAGGGGGGTGGGCAGGGAGGAAAATGTGCAACAATGAATAAATGGAAATCCAAGTTCTCTATAAAGCTTCATTAAAAATCTCAATTTAAAAAAAAGATAAGTTCCCATATTTGTTGGTAAGATTGACTCTGATTACCAAGAAGAAATTGGGCAGTTATGACAAAAAAGAATATGAAACGGATAGTGGAAGAAAACCTTTTTTGTTTTTAATTATTCAACTGTTTATCATACATAAGACTGCATGACTATAATACAAAGGGGGGTTCTTTATCATTTAAGGTTACAATATACACAGCAAGTCCAGACTAGATCTTACAGTCTGAATACAGGTATTTAACCTTTTCCATGCTGTTTATGTTTACAATGCACATAAGTCCTGTAACCAAACTGTGTAGTAAAGCACACAAAACTGGACTGTAACATAACACAGTATGCAGAAGCAGTGGATTGTATGGTTTTCTTTATGTAAGTATTGGTTTAAAAACTGTTTTTGTTTTTGGTGCTTGCTAAGATGTGGCAATCAGCACAGAAAAAAAATGACCTGACCCATATAATATCTGAACGTTATATTCCTAAACAGCAGGAACTACTGAATTCCTTTTGATATTGCTATACTCAAGATGATATCCTTTTATTTACTGTAAACCTTTATGAACTATCAAGTTCAAAAATCATCCACAGGCTTGACATTTAATGACAAAAATAAATATGGATTTCCTAATTAACAACAAAAAATTTTTCTGGAAAACAACTATTCCCAAGTTTCCATTCACATTTACATAGTTTTAAGCCTTTCTTTTTTTTACTGTTTACATATAAAAACTTGCTTTTGTTCAGAAAAACTTGACCTTGTTAGCCACATGAAATTGACCAATAAAAGGTAATGTGGTGTTCTGCTGTATTGTTTTGAACAGGGTTAATCGGCAGAGGTAGATTACGGCTTCTTTTCTAGGCTTCTTTTTTTTTCCTTTTCTTTAGGTTGGTTATTTTTCATTTCAATGAACATCTACAGAGATTTTGGGATCCCATTCATTCATTGTTGCACCCTTCTCCCTGCACAAACCCCGGCCCCGTTTGCTCCTCTCTTTGAAAAGCAAAAGAAAAACTCCCTCATTGGTACACAATCCCCCCCCCCCACCCCACCCCCAGTAATAATCCACTCTGCAATCCTCATTGCA